GGACTTCTCTAGAGTCGCTCCCATCCTCTGGAACTCTTTACCCCAACCTGTCCGTCTATCTACCACCTTTACTGCTCTTCAATCCTCTGGAGCTCCCTACCCCAGTCTATCTGGCCATCTCCCACTCTGCGTGCCTTTAGGAGATCCCTAAAGACTCATCTCTTCAGGGAAGCCTATCCCACCTCAACCTAACCACTGAACTATCACATTCTCAAACAATTCATCCCCACACAGCTACTTCCTCATGTATCACTGGCCCCTCCCTTTTTAAAATTGTAAACCCTCACTGGCAGTGCCCTCCTTACCATCTTGCCTTTAATTGTATTGTAATTGTAATGTCTTCCTTATATTATAAAGCGCTGCGCAAACTGTTGGCGCAATATAAATCCTGTATAATAATAATAATCTATAAAGCATATTTATCCCATCATATGACCTGTCAAAATCATGTCACCAATACTTCACCATTCAAGAAGTTGAGCTTGTTGGACACTGGAGGCTCCACATTGCTTATAGGTGGCTTTTCCTAGTACCAATTGCATATGTGTTGTTATTATGAATGCTGTCATGTAAAATGTAAGGAGAGTACTGTCTAAAAGTAAATTGATTTTTTTTTAGCAGTGCTCTCTGGATTTTTGAATACTGCCCCCTCAAAGACAATTAACCCTAGGGTCTTAGTCAAGTGGGGGCCTTATCTGAAGTTAGACACATCTCAGGAGTCAGGTTGGCAATAAGAAAAAAAATCATATATGAAAACTACAGTTGTATTTGCTAGAATAGTCATGGAAGGAAATGTCTTTTAGTTTGCAGCATAGATCAGGTTGATTTGTATATTTTCGCTAAACTTACAAGTTAATACAAATGCCCAGATTTCTAGATAACAGATTACAAGAAATAATATAGCAAAAAGGTACCAAACATAGTTTTGTGTAACTATGATTTATATGTACAAGTTGACACCTCTCTGTCATTCCCATTGACTCAAGATGTCTCTATAGCTTCGCTAAGAAAAGCATCCAGCACTTGTATTTTGCAAGCTTCATTCAGCCCACGCTGTGAGGGCACTCCTAATGGGGTACCACCAGGGAAACCATTTGAGATCAAAGGCATGCAGTGTTTGATTCAGTTTGGTAGAATCGGGGGTAGATCTTGAAAAAGCATGCCAAGTGCCCCTTTATGGAGCCCATGTGAATGGAGCCTAACTGATATTGCTCCACACATTATGTTTAAGTAAAGGAAAAACAGGTCAGCTTTCTCTGTGCTTTCAAGCCTTAAAGTGACATTAAAGGCAACTTTTTTTCCCCCCTCACCCCAACGTTAATTAAAGCACTTACCTGAAATGATGTCTCTTAATCCGGTCTTTTTCTTTCCTGATTTTTGCAGCCTTCTCCCCAGCGCTGCGGCAGGTGTCCGATCCAGCGCTGACTCCTCTGGGCTTGCTGGCATTTCCTGGCCCATGGTGTCTGCATGCGGGTGCACACGTCCATAGACTTACCTTGCGTCCGTCCTCGCATCCTGGCCGAAAATGTGAACTGCGCATGCGCGCGCCCCAAGATCCTTTGAGGGAGCCTGAGAATTTTCACATTTTCGGACGGGAGCGTGCGGGGAAGACGCAGGTAAGTTTAAACCACTGTTAAAGCAGTTTTTTTTTAAAATTAAACTTTTTGCATATATCTACTGCTTGCTAGCTAACAGGATCGAGAGTTGAGCGAACGCCGGTATGTGTTCGCTCACCTCACGATCTACTGAGCTGACCTGTGACAGTCTCATTGTCGGGTAGAACTATGAGGTGAGTGAAAAGCACTCACCTCATAGTTCTCCTTTAAGCTGGCCATACACAGTCAGTGCTGCTGTCGGCACCCTTTCGGCCAGCATCCCCCGATCAGCTGATCGAAGGAGTCTCTTGGAAATTCTTTGATGAACAGAGGCCAATCAGGTGGCTGGCGGCCACTGTCTGAATACAGTGAAGACTGCGGGAGATTCCTCGATCAGCACTCATAAGCATTGATGGAGGAAGCTATTATTTTTTTCTTCGTTCAGCCCACAGGCAGAAAATATTACAGTGTATGGCCAGCTTTAGACTTGCAACAATTTTTTTTCTTTTTAAGCAATATTGTCATAGCACCTCAAGAATGTGTTCAAGCCCTCCAGAATAGTGTGGCTTGCCTGCCAAATAAAATCCCTGAGTTGATATATGCTAAGTTTTTAAAAAGAATAAATAAAGATTTTACACTATTTGTGGTCCGCTGTTCTGACTTTATCAATACCCGAATACATGGGGTGTTCAATTAAAAGTGGATATTGTCTTGCTAGAGGAATTTTGCCATTGTCATTTAACAAAGTGCTTTTGCTTTTCTATAACAGAAAGGTAAAATAACTGGTGTCCGTTTTTTAATTTAAGGTGGAGGGTGGTAAATACACTTGGAAATTAAATGATAATGAAGATTTATTACTCTGAAGATATTTTGACTAATAAGGACATTTTGCTTTTGGATATATTTGGATTATCTACATTGCAGTTATACATGATTGTTTTTGGTTATATTTGTTTTCACGTATTATAATGGTTGATGGTTTTATTTCTATGTGCATGTTTTAATAGCACTACTTTGTTTTGATGTATTTGCAATTCCTTTGTTAGCTTCTAAACCCCATTTATTATTGCAGTGTGCAAGAGAGAAACAAAATGAATAAACACTACTAAAAAAAACTACTAAAATGATACCTTCAAGTGTTTTTGTATTAGAATGTATGTGCTTCATCCAGGAACTTGTTCCTGTGCCAGATGGATGTGCACAAATCATTTTAACAAAGTAATTGCAGTTTTTCTAATGTCGTAGTGAGAGGGATAATTCAGCAGATGTTCTTTGAAACTGCACACCTGAAATGCAGCATATTTATTTATGCAGTATAATAGCTTCTTATACTGACATATGTGCATTTAGATATAACATTTTTTTTTACTTGATCTAGAATTTTCAGGTTTTCTTTTTTTAAAAGTTTGGTTAGCTACCATTTTTGTTGAATTCCCTGCAGGTTAAATTTGTTGCAGTGCTTTGTGTTCCTTTTTGCAGATGTAAGACTAAAGGGCCATTTTATAGACTAAAAATATAATTCTTAGTTCTGCCCACAACTTTACTTATCTAGCAGCAGCCTTTTTGGAGGAACATGTTACGTTAACAAGGGGGCAAAGCTGTTAGATTTGTTGTCTATAGAAATACAATTGTGAGTTGCTAACTCAATGGTCCCCCGGTGTGACCGCTCCCCCTCTGGGTTATAACCACTTTTGACAAGTTCAAAGAAAGAATGGGGTTTAAATGAGAGGTATATCACCAACGCTTGTTCTGTTTGATATAAAAAGTATTTATTCAACACATAATAATTATAAAAACATGTATACAAATTCATTGATTTCAACCTAGATCAAATACATTGTGATCAGAAATATAAAACAAAATGCATCCTAACTCTCCATATGTTCAAACCAAATTCATATTGCTTGATCTTGTATATACAAATGGGAGATCCATATATCCAGCCCCTACGCGTTTCGCATATTGCTTCCTCAGGGGATCATGGATTATTCCACCAATGAGATGTTTCGATATAGGCAGGTTCCCCTAGACTGAGTGTAGATAGGGATCAAAATCCCGGCATAACCACTATGTCCAGAGGTCAATTTGGGGACCCTGGGGCCAAGAGAGAAGGGATTCCAAGGAGGAAAGGAAGATAGAGGGTTGCCTGTGCTGTCAGCTCAGGTCAAGGAAATCAGTAGGCCCATGGACTACAGGGTTATATCAGATCCATCTGCTTGGGCGGCCCTCTCTATTCCTTCTATCTTGTCCTTAAAGTGACATTAAACCCTCAGATTTTTTAACATAAACCAATACTGTAATGTGTGCCTTACTGTAATCCATGGTTGTTTCCCTTCTCTTTGCTGCTCTTCCTTTTAAATCCTCATGTCTTCTCATGCTTGGTGAGAACTTCCCTTTTCAGCTCAGTGCCTCTTCCTGTAGTGCTGGCTCAGGTTACAAGCCTATAGAAACGTATACACAGACACCGTGTATCCATTCCTGAGACAAGGCAGTCTGCTGCAAAACAGAAGTTCTACAGAGCATGAGAACAGATACAGATTTAAAAGGAAGAGCAGCAAAGAGAAGGGAAACAACCATGGATTACAGTAAGGCACACATTACAGTATTGTTTTATGTTCAAAAATCTGAGGGTTTAATGTCACTTTAATGCAGCACCGCAGATTTGTTGTCTATGGCAGCCAGTCAGGCTTTACCTATAATTTTTTTTAATAAAGTTTGACAAGCATTTCCGATATTGGGCCATTATCTTTTTTTTACATTTATCATGAATCGGATCAGAAGGCCTGTCTGGGTCCCCCAGCCTTGTTTTTCCATTTTGCTATTTCTTCATTTTGTACTTGTCTTTTTCAGAAGTCTATAGTCGTTTGATTCTCTGTGTCCTCTTCCTCTTTTTGTGTTCTTTTATTTCTTTAATTTCTCTCTTCCTCTTCTTTTGCCCAGGGAGGGGTCCTCTTCTTGAGCAGTGCTGACATGTTGATTTTACTGCTGTGGTGATGTCCTACATTCATATCTTCTCAGTCTTCCAGATTGAATGACACTGGGCATCATTCAGCCTAGAAGACTGAAGACTTATTGTAACGGATTGCAAATACTGTGCGGAATAGCTCCAGACAAAGTCAATATTGCAGCTTGAGCTACTTTCTTCTTTTTTTTTACCCTCCCATGGTACCCATTTTCATTTAAAAGTGCCATGAGTTGGGCTTTGATCCAATCTCCCCCCACTTTATGAAAAAAATAATGTATTTTCTCTACTAAATGTAATTGTAAATTGTAAAAATGTAAAAGTAATTTTAATCCACTTTAACATTGTGTTTACCTGTTGTGCTGTTTTGACCCATTGTCCTGATTTTAACAAATAGTAAAAAAAAAAAAATTTCAACACTTGGTTTTATTTTTTTATTACAGATTTGGGCCTGGATCAGTTTATTATAAAGCGATATGATGGAAAGGTGAGTACCTCTTATTTAAAAAAAATAATAATTAAAATGTCTGCTTTAAAGTATCATAAAACCCTATATAATAAGAAGTAGCTGAATATGCAACATGGTCCTATTTTATTATTGTAATTGTATATATTTATGCCATTTGAGTAACTACACAGTTCCCACACATTCAGGGTAAATCTGCCTTATTAGAGTTAAAGTTAGTTAGGGCTTGTGTAAAACAACACATGCACATTCCATTTGTGACCTGTGAAACTATATAGACTTTTGCTGTTCATGGTCAGGATAACAAAGGTGTAAACTAGCAACTGAAATTCAGCATTTTCCTTACAGGCTTTTTAATTTTTAGCATTTTGTACTTTTCTCCTGTAATTCTTAAAATTAACCTTCATTTTGACCATATCCTCTGATGTGACATGCAGTATTTGTGCAAGCCTACACAACTTGTTCATGTTGAGATGTTGTTGTTGTTTTTTTTTTGCTGTTGTCAGCCTAACAAATTTAAATGAAGGAAATGCATTTAAAAGGCACACATTAAGGTAGTTGAAACCTTTAATGCCTCACACATTCCACTGTCATACAACACAATGTCTATTCTTATTACTATGGATCATATACTAAAAATAAGTGTTTTTGTACCTGTTTTTTTAATGTTATTTTACATGGTCATGTGACTGCATTCCCCCCACACTTGCAATAACTGAGTGACAGGTAAGCATGCACATTCGCTATTATTGGGGTTCCTTTATTCTTGAGAAAGCACCTGACGTGCATACGTCACCAGGAAGGCAAAAGAGATGCGGGGAAGCGACAATGCTAGGAGGAAGTACCATTCAGCAGTTGTATTTAGCAGTGGCAATTTAGTATTGTCGGTCCAAGAGCGGAAATAGAAAGGAGGTGAGGAATGGCAGGAAAAGAGGTACTTTGAAATCATTGAGTAATAAATAAGAAAAGTACATAATACAAAAAGTTGCTTGGTGCATAGAAAGGAATAGGGAAATAATATTGCCTGGCTTCCACTTTACTGCATTCCCATATTCATTAGTACATCATTAAATGCATTTTTTTTAATTGCAAGCAGTGTAAGTACCTTAACCTTCCTGGCGGTATGATCATTTCCTTTTTTTTTTTTCTTCTTTTTTTCTATTTTTGTCGGTTCTTTTTTTTCGGTTCTTTTTTTTTTCCGTTTAAAAAATAAATAAAAATTCCCGTCGGTTCCTCCCCCTTGCGATGCGGACACTCTCAAGGGACAAAACCCGGAAGACGGATGCCGGCATCGGCCTGAGGACACAGCGCGGCTCGAGGGGCAAGGTAAGAGACGCTACGCTGTAATCCCGAGTGTGGCTCGGGGTTACCGCTTATGGTACTGAAAATTAACCCACACTCGAATACCGCCAGGAAGGTTAATTAACCACTTCCTGGATGGAGCAATTTCTTACTATTTGCACACACATGATACAATCTGAGTTTTTTTGCTAGACAACAGCTTCATACCCGCAAACAATTATATATTTTCTGAAAGCAGAGGCCCTGTAGAATAAAGACAAATGCTAGTTGACAGCTTTTTATGTCGCACGGTATTTGCACAGATGTTTATCAAACCAGTATTTTTAGGATAAAATGCACTAAAATTTAATTTAGTGCACTGAAACAGAATATAATACCCAATTTTTAGGTAAAATATAAAAGACGGGGTCATGCCGGGTAAATAGATATCCAACATGTCAAGCCTTAAAATTGCATGCGCCTGTGAAACCGCAAAAAACTTCTCACTCTGACTTCCGCGACAATATGCAACATGTGTGGCGCATTTTTGCACGTGGGCGCACCTGATCCTTATTTGCATATGTATGTGCGTGGACGTAGGGGGTGGTGGACTTGAAACTTTTTTTTGCATTTTTTTATATGTTACTTTAATTTTTTTATTTTGTTTTGCACTCAACTTTATTGCTATCACGTAGGGGGCTAAGAAGCCCCCTATGTAATAGCAAATATAATGTGACAGGTGCTCTTTGTGGAGACATTAGGGGTCTTTGAGACCCCCTAATGTCACCTAGGGACCCCAAAGAAGCTGAGGAAGCAGAGATCTGCTTCCCCAGCTTCTTTTCCTGGTTTCAAGAGCTTGAGAATGTACACAGCGACACTGGAAGTGATGTAATACACACAACTTTCTCGGTCCGATCAGTCAGGGGAGACCCGCCGTGCCGGTCCCGAGGCCGCACGGGATGCAGGGTAAGCCGGTCATCAGTTTAGCATTAGCGATAAATATTAGTCCGAGCATTATTGCATGTGTAGTGTAATCGTCATTTTGTATGTAGGTGCACCCGACTGGTGTTTCTGTTAGTATGTGCGCGTTCGTGGGGTTGGGGGACTTGACCTTTTTTTTGTTGGTTTATTTTTTTAAACTTTCCTTTTTTACTCTATTGCTATCACATAGTGGGGCTCACAATCCCCCTATGTGATAGCACATTGTAGGTGACTGGTTCTCTTTAAGGTGACATTAGGGGTTCAATTAGACCCCTATTGTCACCTTTCCACTTGCGTGGCTCACTGTACAGAAAATAATTGCTGACAGGAAGGTAGAAGCTTTTAATTTAGCAGAGACTTACACTGTCTCTCCTGTCAGAAACTTTTTTTTTTTTTTTAAATAGACTTAACTTCCACTTTAAAGGGGTTCTAAACCCTCCGGGTTTTTTTGCTTATATCTACTGCTAGCAAGCAGTAGATATAGGCAAGAAGTGTTAAAAAAAAAAAAAACTGCTTGAAATCATTTTAAACTTACCTCGTTATCGCTGCTCCCTCCAGCGCCGAGAACA